AGGCGCTGGGCTGAAAGTGCCGTGCGGGGTCGTGCTGCGCAGGCGGCGGCTGTCCGCGTGGGAGCCGCGGCGCGCTGGCACGCTGGCCTGCAGGCCGACGCCACGCTCTCGCCGCCGGTCGGCCTGGCGAAGTCTGCCATGTCCCGGCCGGAAGGTGCAGCTCCCCCCCTGCCACCCGCCCCCGCCCCCGCCCTCCCCCGCGGGGCGACGCGCCCGCCCACGCGACGATGCCTTCCCGGCGGCTAGTGGGAGTTTTCTCCATCCACACGTCTTCCATCAGCAACCCTCCTTTCCAGCCGGGACAAGGTCCCGAAGGTCCCGAATGGTCACCCGCCACGTGTGGTGGAACAGTGCATGTAAAGTGTGAGAATAGGACCACGAAAAGGAAGCGAGCTGTCTGTGGTCCACTTGCTAGGGTACCGCTCTGGCATTCGCCTATATTGAAAGAAGAAACCACGGAAAATTATCGATCAGAGCAGCCGGCCTTAGAATTTCGTTCCAAGCAGTGGCCGAATTCGACTACCTATGTAGCTAGTATCCAAATTCCTGCCACCATCGGCAGGATTCCCGAGGGACTGCCTGTCAGTATCACTACAGTGACAACAGTTGACACCCTGAGCCACCTCAGCCGGTCGACACGAGCTACGAGGTAGATAGTTAAGTCTGAATTCAGGCGCGACTGGAGAAGAGTTCTACCGGCCGGCTTCTCTGATCGGTATTTTGCGTGGTTTCTTCAACCACTACTAGGCGAATGCCGGGCCGTCCCTTACACATGGGACACGTACCGTGCACAAGATTTCCTTCCTCTTCCCTTACGCACAAACACTTACACTTGCATGCACCACACTACTTTACAACATTCTAAAGCTTACAGCTTGTTGCGTTTGGGGAGGTGTCCGCTGAGGGGATACCTGAAAGAGGGAAAACTCCTGCATACCAACGCGTAGATATCAAGCCCCTGCACGCTACAAACACTACCTCCCTCCGGTCATAACATGCACTACACTCACAGGAATAACGACTATAGTACTTATGCACCTGGGCACAAAATACCCAATTCTGGGGAAATGCCGCATTTCCACCATTCAGCCTACTCCATTTCCACCCTTCTTGTTGAATTAAATTAATATATCACGGACTGAGGTTCTATCTGACATTTTTGGCGGTAATGTTATGACATGTTTGTACTCTCAAAGATCAGATCTGCAACATATTAAAACAGTTTTAAAATCACACGGGAAGACTGCGAACAAAATGAAAGACCTTTTTGAGTATCATTGTCAGAAACCACCAGTATTTGAAAAGAACTTCTGTAGGACTTTCTTAATGTCGGATAGATCTTATTAATCTCGGTCATCACGGGCCGATAGTAAGAATCAGTGGTAAAAATGCAAAATACAACAAACACCATGGCAATGTCAAATACACAGAAATAAAAGGCATAATGTACTGTAAAGAAATAAAATAACAAAATACAATTATTTGAAAGTAAACAAGGGTTTGATTTTCGTTCCAGGTCCCTCTTTTTTGTTTATTTTATTGAATCAAGTACCTGTGTTTATGATTTTAAATTTTCATATAAAGAGGCACAACTTTAAAGTAATCCCTTCAGTAAACTAGTGGCACTACAACAGCACAGTTTTTCTTACAATATTTTACCTTTTTTCAATATTTAAAAAAATCAGCTATTTCAACAAAAATGAGATATGTGCCATTTTTTGCCACATTCTTGCTGAAAAAGTTTTTAAGAAATGTAGGGCCATTTTTGAATTATTCAAAATTTTGTTTTACTTCAAGCGAAAATATAGCAAAAACTACTGTTTAAAAAAAATTGTACATGACACAAGATTAATTCTCATTGTTAATTTTCTTTGCAATTTTTCAGAAGCAGAATACTTCAAAACTGGGATATTAGCCACTTTTGTAAAGCCACTTAAGTTTATTCCAGAAAAAAGAACTTGAAACCCTTTTTTGTGAAAATAATGGCTTAAACATTTCCCATATTTCACGTGAAATGATGCACTAACTACTCACATTTTCGAAAAATTATACATCACATTAGTTTTTACTTCGAAGGAAATATTTCCTGAAGAAAAAAATTGTCTTCAAAATTGTAGCTGTGGGAAGACGCCAAACCAATTTTGAACGTTTGCAAAATTTCGAAATTTGGAGATTTTAACAAAAATGACACCTTCGCCTGTTTTTAAGCATTCTTGCTCTAACCAAGAGAATTATTGAGAAAATGTTGAGGCTGGATGTAAAGCATCCCCCAAAATTAAAAATATCACATAATTCACAAGACCCCGTATTTGTCTAGATCGATCGTAAATATCAATTTTCTGAAAATCATATGAACGGTTTAGGCTTTAGCGGTTGATCACAGACGGACAGATACACAAACGAAGAGACGGTTTGCTGCCCACCAATTTTTTGGGATCAAGTGCCCACAAATCGTGGATTCTGACTACACAGCGTATCACATGAAATAATTTACTAAATGTAAGAACAATATTGATCAACTTTTTCTATATAAAATACCACAATACGAGCTCTTCTGACCAAAAAAATCGTTTATTTCCACTGCTGCATAGCAATACTGTCTCTTTATTTCGTTAGTACTTAGTATGAGGTTAAATAGTTTCCTCAACTAGAGCAAAGGACTTTTAAAAATGGCACATTTTTGCTGAACTCTTTGAATAGTTGAAAATTGCAAACGTTTTCCAATACAATGAGAGTGTATGTACTGTTGTTGCATCACTAATTCAGAATCAAGGATCAACAAAACATGGATTCTAACTGCACAACGTGTTAGACGAAATAATTTATTATTTACATAAACAAGATGAATCCACTCTTTCAATCTCAGAACCTCACTTTACGAGGTTTTTGACGGAAAATTGCCTCTTTTCGCTGCAGCATTACACTTTCTCTTAACTACGTAAGCACGTAGTATGTCCAGAATGTAAAATGAAGTCAATTCACACTTAGGGAATTGTTATCAAACCGTTTTCATATGGTTTAATCAGTCATTAGTACGTTAATGATTTCCGTCAAAAGTTTTAAATGGCCTGTAGCATAACAATGCTGCTGAACAAAACTACAAAAAATGATTTTCGAAAACTATCACGCACACGTCTAAAGAACACCAGACGAAATACTCTCTTATCACTGGAGTAAATTAAGTATTTTAGTTTTCTTTCAATTTTTGAGCATAGTAGAAATTAATACTGATTCAGTCACTTATAAGTAATTTTCTTCTAATACCTTTGCCAACGAAAAAAACAGAGTCCAAAATATCAGATGTTTAAGTTTTCTATAGTAATTTATTTACTAGTTATTAACCTACTGAATTGCAAGTGTGCCATATGGAATATAGAACTTTTTTTTGTTATTTAAGGTCGCATCAACATGGAGGTCATTAGCGACAACTATTGCATTGAACGGTATGATAACTGTGAAGATGACATGATGTGGTGTTGATAGGGGGTGAAAGGACGAACAGAAATACAACCATGCAAGAGGTGGGACTCGAACCCGTGATTCTTCGGTCCGAGATCACTACTGGTTTACCGATCTCAGCAGTCTGGACCGGCAAATCTATCGTTGTGATTCCTCATTTTCTCACCTTTTTCATATCAAGTTTATAGAGTCCTTTCTCTTTAAAAACCTTCATTTTCCCTAGGGGTTTCCAAAGTGGTCCACATCGACCCGTTGGGAGGTCGACCTTTAGATCACAAGGGGCGATATCACAATTAGTTGATTTGATCTCTGTAATTTCAAAGTGCTCTTGCTATTGCTTTTGTATGCAGAATCAAAATACCGATTTTCTTTATTTCGATTTTGAGGAAAGTTATTAGCGTTGAATAGCTTTTACCAGATCACAGAGTACTTTCCTGATGGAACGGAGAATTTGGAATTTTCTCTCGGAATATCAGTTCCAACCCAGCGTGTTGTGTAGCAACATTTCGCCAATAATTTTAACCCAATTGAATTTTATATTAAAAATTATCATAAGAAACAATAATGAGTAAGTTTTTAAATTAATTAGTACATTTTCATAATTCCCCAGAGGATGAAAGATGTTAACCCTTTCACTCCCAGTTTCGTCTATAGGTAAACGAAGGCTATGATTTGGATATGTCTAATTTACTCAGTTTTAATCCTTAAATCAGTGACACTCATCAAGCAGTATTGACAATTACTGAAGAATATCTGTCCATATTCAACGTAGTGGAGTGATGCTTCTATGAATTAACAATTAAATGATTTTGGAGACACGAAATGTAGCTTTCAGCTTTGAAGGGATGATCTTACTAGTTTCAACAGAGAAACCTTAAAGGTGTTTCATTATGAAAGATAATTCGCAAAAGATGCATACTAAAATAATGTTATAATTATTTCAATGCAAATTACTTGCATTCTGAAAGCTATATCTGTAGATGTTAAACATTTCTTCAGTGTGATGATTTGCACAGATACATGAGACAATTTCTTTGCAGTTACTTTTCATTGGAGATTCTACAAACCGTGGTATGATGCACTACATTTTGGAAAGATTAAATGGTTCTCTCACCGCTTGCGAGAAAACCCATCACATACGCCTCTATGAAGATCTCAACGAGGGTCAAACGACTTTAGGATTTGCCTATTATCCTCAGTTCTGGCTGTCAGCTCCAAACCGGCCCGTTTTCGAAAAGACTCTCTACACTCTCTTACTGAAGTACGTATAATGAAGTATTTATGAGATATTAAATTATGAATAATCTCACAATTATTTATAAACATGCAATGCAAGATATAAATACAAAATTCGTAAGAAAATAACCGAATTTATTTTTTAAACAAAACATTGAGAGTTCAGGGGCAATCCAACATTCTCAATTGTAGCAAAACCTTTAAAAAATAAAATTATTATTAATCCATAAATCAGTGTATATTTAGACCTTTTAATTTGGATTACATCATCTATGGTTCATTTTTTAGATCTCGCCCTCTACAGAATACGACGGACACCGTGATCGTGGTAGGAGGCGTGCACTGGCTGGCCACACAGCATTTGCACACGTTGTTGCGGGTCGTCCGCCGGTGAGTGGCACTTCTCCTGCACAGTTGCTAGTTGCAATTTTGTTAAGACTCAGTGTATCACGTTCATTATCGTGAAGCCGAGATGAAGGCTGACAGGCCTAGTGTCTTTCTCTCCAAAATGCGGTATATTTTTCACACTTAATTTGGTTTCTTGAAGATTGGTATTTTTGATCTCATTGTTAAAATCATTGGAAATATCTACAGAATGTAGAGATTATTGCAATAAGTCAAAGTAGTAATCATATTCATCAGGTGACAGTATTAACTCAGTACAAAAAATTCACATATAATACATGTACATTATTTTACACTTTACCAGATGACATTAAAAGATTAAATTCGAAACAATAGTTTAAGTCCCAAGTAAAATATTTTCTACTGTACAACTGTTACTATACAATTAGAGACTATACCGAGCATCCAAAAGGAAAGTATTATTAATTAACAATGACGTTTAATGTATTATATACCATTTGGATTGTATAATTGTAAAGAACCTGTAACAAGTATTGTACTTCAGCTTCTGGGTCAGTGATCCCCATGTCGATCAGATTTTCGTCCAGTTTCCCTGATCCTTGAGCAAATGCTGAGATGTCCCCTTGTTTTGCTTCTGGACATAAATGTAACTTCAAATTAACTTCTTCCCATAGCACGTCAGACAGTTTTAACTGTTTTTAACGTAAATAAATAAATAATAGATACTAGATTAGGAAATACCCAATATTTTCCCTCTAGTCACCCGCTTGTTTCTGAAATGTGTTTCAGAGAGGGTCTTCAAGGAGCCATGTTAGTGGTGAAAACTTTGGGATCTGGTTTTCATATCCCGGCTGAAGGAGTACATTTTATGGGAAAGGTAAGTCTACTCTTTTCAACCCTATATTTTGTGTATTTGCATTACGTGAGTAACGAAGAAAGCCCATTCCTTAAAACTATTATTTAATCACAACTTCTTTTATATATGTTTCTTTTTTAAATTTCAGACAAAGCAAGAAAAACTTCTTAAACACTCACTTGGATTAGCTGCATTTGCACATCACTATAACATGGAAGTTATCGATACCTTTAACATGACTACGGCAAGGTATAAGGATTTTCTTCAAGGAAAGTGTGCCTGTCATTTTCACAAGGTACAGTATTTCGCACTAATGGTTACATAGTGTTTCGTATTTTTATTTTTTGCTCATCTCGAGAAAAAACATTTGTTTTCGTGCCAAATTACACTATTATATAAAACGTAACAGGTATACTGCAAACACTTCACAATACTCTCCGATGCAGAAAATCCGATTTGGCAATTGTATTGAGTGACTGAAGACAGTGATCTAACGAGTATTTCTTTATAAAATTATTAACGCATCTTATTGTTTATCTTATCATTGTTCAAAGTTGACAGAATTTCTTATGCCATTCACAGCGCAAAGCCATTTGCTAATAACATACGATCGCCATGTGGATGCGAGCTCACGTCAACGTGAACTTAATCACTTGTATAAATAAACTAAATATGTATATTAAAATGGGAAAATCTATCGACAAAAGGTCTCGATCGGAAAACACTCATTAGGTGTCCTTGTAGCTCTAATATTGTAGAAAATAATGTTTTCACTTATTTTACAGATTAATTCAAAATGGTTTAGTCACGAAGTTAGTTTCTCGAAATGGATGTAACAGTATATGACGAAACATTCCTTTTTTTTCTGTATACATTTCAATTTTATTTTGACTTTATCTTCGTTTTTTCTCGTTCTTTTTTCTGACGAATATTTGGAAGCCATTTCGAACTTACGACTCCGTTTTTTCTCGTGAATGTCATCTTATAAATATTTGTATCTACCACCGCAGGGATAAGATTTCTTTAGCCGAATATAATGTGACTTTATGAAATGCATGCAAAAGCGTTCACAACGCTGCTCTTGTTCCAGTTGGAAGAGCGCCCAGACTCGAGCTATCATGTGGAAGGAAGTATCAACGCTGCATATTCGGAAATTCTCTTAAGTAGGATTTGCAATGAACACAAAAGGGATCGGAATTACCACGACGTGAGCGACGAAGTGAAGGAAATGAGTGTTTCATGACAAATGTCATATACATAACGTAAATATTTTTTGTATCTTTTCATGAAGTACAGCGACAGGTACCGAAGGTAAACATCAAGTAGTTAGCGAAATAATTACTTGGCTTCCATAACTCAGGAATGCGATTTGGTCTGCACTACACTATTGTTAACACAGTTGTCTCTCAAAAACACTGTGTATTACAATAACAATTAAATTTCTATCTATTAGATGAAAGTATTTGTGATATGTGGAAATCTTACTAACTTACCGATCTGGAAAGTAAGGTGACTGAATAATATTCTTATAAGCAGTGCTTTACCCAGCCCCAAATTATTTACAACCACGCCCTCAGAAACGTTTAGGGCACTACACCCCATGGGGTGCGATCAACCTTACTCCTTGTAGTCTGAGAGATATCATCATAAAAAAGTTATTATTAGTTAAAAGTTATATCATTGCGCCACAATTTATAATTTTGGCGCTATGTCTGCAGTTTGTTTTCTGAAGCAAAATTCCATTGGTTGGCATGGCCAAAACCTTGCAAAATATATTTAAGTTCGATGTCTCATCTAATGCCGGTTTCACGTGTAATTCCTTGCAAATTGCACATACGGCCCCTCAGAGTTCAATTGTAGACCCTTTTCTCTTCTTGCGTATGTAAATTATATGTTCTTCACGATTCAAAACAGATAAACAACTCTCTTTGTTTCGAATATTCTATTCAATAATGACACACTAAACAGAATACTATCAGTTGATTCAATTTGTTTTCATAATGACTAATTAACAGTAAACGAAGTGAAAACTATTTCAATGCAGTTTTCCATTTCCAATAAACAATTGTCCACTGTATTGAAAATGAACGATGTGCTATTAGCTGATCTTAGGGTAACAATATTTTGTGGTTTCTCAATTCAGACAAACGTCAAATGGATCATTCTTTTAAAGAATAGAAAACAAAATTAAGTTGTTTACGCTACGGGTTCAGAATTCTCCCATTGGCAGCCTTCGTACCATTTGTTGAGTATATTTAGTTCAATCCGGCCTGATTTGCGCCAATATATTCTTGGGAAACACATCCATAACTCATAGAATTTTAGATTTCAGAAAAGAATTGTACGAATAATAAGCTAATTCCACTCACGTTATGCTTTTAAGTCGCTCTTCGAGTTTCGCCATATGAATCAAAGAATATCAATATTGAAGAAAATGCTATAAATGGTTTAGGGACTATTGTTTTTCATAGACCGATAGACGGATGTTTGCCGTAAACTAATTTTTAAGTATAGTGGTCCCATAAACCGTAGACTTTGACCAGACGTGTTAGAGGAAGTAATGTATTACATATATGAGCAAGAATTATCCACTTTTTTGGTATCGGAAATCTATAATACTAGTTCTTCTGTCAAAAAACCATCACATATCTTCAAGCATTAAAATATTTCTCTTCTCTACGTAAGTGTGTAGTAGGCGAGAAAGTAAAAATAAACTACGTTTTTATTAAAGAAGTTGGTGATTGAACATTTGTAGGTGGACAGGACCGATGCGGCCAAGATGCAGACCACTAATACGTTCGTATTTTTAAGTCACGAGAATCAATTAAAATAAGCATACTTATAAAAGAATGTAGTAACTATTAATTTTAAGTTCATTAGATTTTCACCCTTTGTTATTACACAATTATTATTTCTTTACGTTGAAAAATATTAAGAAAAATCTATAAATTTACGTCAACACTCAATTTTCTGATTACATCCTAATTGAAAATACCTGAGTAAAACACTGCTTATAAGTTTTCCTGATATCAACTTCATTAAAATATCTTGGTTAGTGTTAACGGTTTCATCTCACTTGTGTGTCATGATAACCAATCGGGGACAATAACGCGTTTCATTTTACATAACGAAAAGGCTGGAAATCTTCCAGTTTTGTAATATAAAACTGCAATATTTTGATGATATTCAGAACAAAATATTTCAGACGACCTCAAATGATTGTGGTCTGTGACTCAATCCAACAATTTATATTTCAAAAACAAATTCTTACATGTTTAATATTTATTTGTATTATTGATTTTTCACAACTGAATTCTCTATGTTGATTTTTGATATTAACAGAACGAACACTGATTCTGTATACTAAGGTATGCATGTAAACATGAATTTAACGTCTCTTTCTTTTATAAACTTTGACCTTGCAATTTATTGTATTTATTTTTTCCTACAGTATTAATGTTATGAAGTTAATAAATTTTCGAGAAACTGTTTATTGCATGGATAATATTGAGTATTTAATTAAAATCGAAAAATGAATCATTTCAAAAGGATACTTCATTGTGAAAAAGATATAATGCAAGTATTTATAAAAAAAGTATCTTCTTATAAAGTTCTTTTAGGTTTAAAATATTCAAAATAATAATCTACAAAATTATTAAATTTTTTAAAAAAATAAAAAATACAAGGACATCTTACTCAATAGAAATACTGACTACATCCCTTCGATTTTTTTCTTTTTCTTCTAATTATATGGTGACTATGAAAGTCACACATGTAATACAATGTACAATTTTTGAGTTATTAAATTTTATTTTACTATAACAAAAAATATGATAATCTAATTGCTTTGTAAATAAATAAATAATTATGTTGTAAGTATGAAATGGGTGTATTTCATTAATTTAATCTAGATTTTTGAATGTAATTGAACTGCTGTTTATTTATATGTTATTTAGATCACATGGAACTCTGTTTAAACAACTTACTACAATCACTTTACTTATATCACATTATCTAATTTGTAAGAATACTTCTATAAACATGATTTAATTTTGTTTACATTTGTCATCAGTAATATCACGTGGTAGAGAGAGAGAGCGAGAGAAAGAGAGAGAAACAGTGAGAGAAAAATGATGAAAAAGAAAGATTGAGGGAGAAAGAGAAGGCAGTAATGGTATTAATGTTCTTGTGAATCGCTACTCTGCCAGTGATGCCAACACATCTTCACTTTTTAAAAGTCTGTCGAGATTAGTAACCCTGGTTTGTGATTACGCGAAGCCCTGCGTTGAGAATAAAACTCCCCGACGTAGAAAGAATGCTTAGTAATGCACCACCACCCGGTGCTTTACAGAACTTGCTGCTGTCTCCATTTAAACGCTTTCCCATGACACGGAGAATTCGCGCTTGACGGGTGACATTTGAGTGCTTCATTCGACTGTCATCACACATTTAACTTGCTGGGAAGGTACGTTCGCCGTGTGTTACATGATACCACGATTTTCAACAGAGGGATATTTTTACTCTAAGTATTCACAGCAGGAAGATATTTTATGGTCCTAACTGCGTGAATAAGTGAGAATATATTGAAATAACAATTTCATCGTACTTTCAGAACAATTATATTACTCGTGTAGGAATTCCTGACCAGTAACTTCGAAACTTTGAAGGTTCCAGTCGAGTGACAATACAAAGGGTTCCCGTGTTAAAGTAAATAAAACCTTTGAACAATGATTTTGACCCCAAATAAAATTTTCCAACAGGTCTCAAACTTTCCAACTCCACTTACCCCTCCTACAAACAAAAAACGTATTTTCTTACTTATATATTTTAATATTTTTACGCTTAGAATCTCAGATAATAAAAATTAAACTTTCATTGCATAAGATTAAACTTCTCAGAATTTTTTTCAATTTTTGCTCCCACTTAAATTTTGAAAAATTGCATATATATATAATGTATATATATGCAATGTATATTTAATGTATATTTTCTCACCGTCTAATTGTGAACACAATACCTGCGCCTAAAATGCAAAAAGATTTTCATCAAAATCCTCCCTAATTTGAAAATCACATTTTAATTTTTAGGAACACTTACACATCGGGCTCGCCATATTTTTCCTCAAATAGTGCAAGCTTTGCTTATGAAAATGATACACATATTTTATCAAAACATCTGAAATTTCGAAGATTGCAAAAGTTAAACATATTTTCGTTCCCATCTATCAACTGCATCATTGAGGATAAAGATTGTTTTTTCAATGAAATCTGTTATTCAAAATTAAATCTTTAAAAATATCATCGCATTAGGCCCGATTTTTAAAAAAAGGGTATTTGAAATTGCCCAAATTGCAAAATTTCATTATTTTTCTTATCTGCCATACACTTTCCGTAGTAACACCAGTGATTCATTTCTTAAGGCAATCTACATGTCAATATTATATTTTTTGATCATTACAGGAACATTGTTTCGAAAATATTAATAGTTTTGCGTAATTTTTAATAATATGGTGAAACAGTGCATAAGTTTGCAAAATAGTCATACTTCTTCAATATTGAAGCTAGATATTTCTTTTTTAATGCAATGTATTTGTCAGTATTTGATCTTAACATCGTTTCATGTATATTCTTTTTAAAATATTAATATTTTTCTCGTACATTTAATTAAAACGTTCAGGTCTTTCATGCGTGATATTTACAGTATTAATATGCTAGAAAGTGGAATACAATATTAACAGTACATACCTAACAATACGAGAAAATATGTGCTGTCACCTTACCACTAGTTTGATGAAAAACTAACCCTGATTTATGTTCGTGATTTTCTAACCCAGATAGATTGACATTGGCCGCTACTGAAACTAGTGCTGGGGCTGGTCAAGAGCCTTCCTCATGGAGTTGTTCCATGATAAGTCTTACAGCACTTTCAATATTATTTTCATTAATAATTCCCCATATATCTCATAGTTGTCGGGAAAGGGGAGTGTCAGAGCTACTTGTGACGTCAAATATTGTTCATTCAATAATTTTCCGCTGAACTAATTCCTAGATACGAGGTGCGTTCACAAAGTTTGGACACTGTGTTTTTCCTGAGTAGGGGAGGGCTTGCAGACCGTTCCACCGACAGGGGAAGTAGAGAGCTAACCGGCGGCACGAGCCGCAGGTGCCTCCGAGACACTGGAGTGAGCATAGTGGGGTGGGTGCATGTCAGTGACCCCGTCGAAAACTCGGAGAGTCGAAAATGCGACGTCATTTGAACGAGTGTTATTCCAAAAAGTTCAGCGAGAAAGTGAACAAAGTTGTTAGAGTGTATTTTGGCATGATTCAAAAGGCATATAAGGAATATTCATGTCACATGCAATGGTTTCATGTGGCAAAAAAGGGTTCAAAGATGGCGGCGAGGATTTTGAAAATGATGACTACCCTGGGCGATTTTCAACAAGCC